TGTCCCTGCAGCACAAAAGCAGTGTTAAGTCGCTGGGGTATATTTGCAGCAATAGCCAACAATATATTGTATGGGTCAAAATTATACATTTTTTTTATTGCCAAAAATCATTAGGATATGAAGTAACTGAAGTAAAAACGAGGGAACGAATAGAGCCCTGCATGGGCCCGGCCCTTGTCCAACAGCTTGTGAGAATTCTTGGCCCGAGTCCGACTGGATACCGTGACTTTTTTTCTCTCTCTTCCCCATTACACAGCTATTAAAATAGTTCAGTTTTGGTTTTTAACGGCAAAGTGGTCATATTTCTTTTTGTTTCTTTATTAAGTTAATTTAGAAATATGTTTGGAACATTTTATGTTTGTTAAATTCAAGTTTTTGTTTTTTAAAGGAACGACCAAGCGGCAGACAGTGAGTTGAGCATTATGTTTGACCAATTTAGCCTTCTCAAACCAACACGACTTGCCTAAAATAAACAGACATAAAACACTTAATGCATTTCACAGTATTATATTAAACATTTAACCTAGATAAATGAGCGCTGTTAGGCGCATATCCTAACGGTGCGGAGAGTGAAAGCTAAAGCGCGCGCTGCAGGACATGGAGGCGCCAGCGCCATCACTTGCATTTTTTTTTTAATAACAGTGGAAACTTAAAAATATGCCGACATTTTTGCTCATAAAGGTAAGAGTATACATCATTCGGAACTGCAAAGGGTCTACTTGTATTTGTGTGCACTCACAATATCAACAAAACCTTGTGGTTTTGTAAAATAAGGAAAACAAACAGGATGCGCTTTCTGTCGTCTTGGTCTTGAGCAGGAGCGCTTCACCGACATGATATCTATAGAATGCTTTAAATTTATTTAAAATGAAATAATTCAAATCGAAAACAAAAACTATTTCATTATGTAATCCGTGCATTTCTCTCTAAAGGCATGTCCAATGAGGAGATGGCGAGTCAGGTTAATTCATTTTTGCAACATTGACTCAGAAAACATTAGTTTATTAATTCAAATATCCGCTTTTTTGGGCCGCTGTGCCAAAATTGTGTTTGAATTCAGTAGCCTATACGGCAGCATTTTTGTGCCACGTTTAAAAATAACTAAATAAGATTAACGTCATAATATTTTAAGAATAAAGTCAAAATTATGATAATAAAATCATGCTATATTGCGTGAAGTTAATGTGAAAATTCCACCTATAGGCCTACTCCTCAAAAAAAAAAATGTCTGTGGCATCCGTCATTCTTTTGACTTTTTTAAAAACTCTGATTGATCGAGTCATGATACATTCGTTTGTATTAAATTGTTCAGATTTCTTTCAACATGCATTCAAATATAAATTTTTAGTTTGTGCTGCAAATATTAAAGAGGAAAATATCATTGATTCATATGCAGCTTGAACTGAGGCGAATTATCTCACTACAAATTAAAGAGCGTAAAAAGACGTTTATTGTTTGTATTTTATCATAAAGTTGACAGAAGGCTGAGACTTTGAGTAACAAAGCACAAAGCTGCGATAATTGGGTGGCTTGCGTGCTACAAATAATGAATGGACTTGAAAACTTTAATCATTTCCAAGCATTAGCCTATAACATAAATAAAACAGCTTGTGAATAGTCACGATTCACGTAACGTTATGACTCTGCCAACGTACTGACTCGCTACGCCACTGATATCGGCCAAATATTGTCCTATCCTAACAAACCATACATCAGTGGAAAGCTTTTTTATTCAGCTTTCAGATGATGTATAAAACTCAACTTTGAAAAATTGACCCTTAAGACTGGTTTTGTGCTCCAGGGTCACATTTGGCTTAGAGTGGGAACCCTGGTGCTCACGTGACATCATGAGTGTGTGTGTGTGTGTGTGTGCTCACGTGACATCATGAGTGTGTGTGTGTGTGTGTGTGCTCACGTGACATCATGAGTGTGTGTGTGTGTGTGTGTGCTCACGTGACATCATGAGTGTGTGTGTGTGTGTGTGTGCTCACGTGACATCATGAGTGTGTGTGTGTGTGTGTGTGCTCACGTGACATCATGAGTGTG